GGCATGTACACTTAAAATGGCATTGACTTAGTGGGCTACAGAAACAGGCTGCATATTTGATACCCTGGAGCAAAGGAGCTTTAATGGCTGTGTATTTGAGACGTGGAAGAATTGGGCTTTACAGGGTGTGTATTTGATGGCCTGGGATGAATTTAATACATTCGGAAAATGGGGCTTCACAGGCTGTCTATTTGATACCCTGGGGTAATGTGCCATGTGAGGACTAGCATCATTGAATAACTATGCTTTAAAAAAATGTATTATTTTTTACAATTCTGCAAATTTATCATGTTACTGATCTCCTCAGTTAAGGTTGTAAACATATATTTTATGTAAATATCATTTTGTATCATGCATGCCAACTGGCATAGAGTACTAGGATTTTTTCCATTTTCATCAATCAGCTATTTCTGTGTTATGTTTTATCTTAGCTACTACAAACCTAAGTTACATTCATAACTAATCAGATCCAAATCTTAACGATTTATGCCAGTCTGCTAGTCACGATGATCCTTGATCTATTTAGGAATGGGCTCTCTGTAACCAAGAGTCTTAATTTAGGTCATGTGAAATTGGTGGCTATGTCAAAAAACATACATGACTGGTGTACAGCAGATTTTGAGAAGTTTATATTTTCAGGGAATTTTCATATATTGTACTGTAAGTTTTTTTGGTTTTTTAAATCACTTTATTTTGCATAAATGGAATTGTCATGCAAGCTAATGATGTCAAGCTGTTTATTGGGCAAAGAGATGTTACTCTGTATTATAACATATTGACAGCTTTAATTTTATTGTTTCCTTGACTTCATGTCATGCTATTGTGTGTCAGAAGGGGAATTATTTGCATCACAAAATCTTAACTGAAAATTTTTTTTTTTAAATTTGTTATTAACCTTATCTTCGGGTTGCAAATATTGTTTTAGTTGTGCATTCCACTCTTTCGTGTTCCTTTCTCTTTCTTATCAGACAAACTTGGGGCCTTATGTGTCGTGTAAAAACTGAGGATAAATTATGCTTTTTTTTTTTTTTTAAGAACTCATGTCTTACAATTTAACAGATTTTAAAAAAAGTTAAATAATTATCAAAACCACTTTCCTTTGCATAAAGATTTTTAGCTTGCAAACATGGAACTACAATTTTTTGAAAAGTCATTAAATTTTACTACTAAAAATGTGAAAAGGCAATTTTTATCTTGACATACTTAGAATTAAATTTTATGAAACAAAATTGGTTAGTGAAATCTGGGGAAGTCACATGAGGTGATTAAATTTATGTTACATAAATGAGTTGCCTTTATCACAAAATTAGCTCGATATTTGTACTTTTTTAATGTATTTTGTCAATGCAATATTTTCATAATGTGCTCATGTATTTGTAGATCTTTCTATTAACATGGGAACATCAGTATAAATTTAAGACTTTAAACTAAACTGTAGAAAAAAATTGCATATAATAATTTGTTTTAAATAGCTTTTATTGATTATTTGCTACATTACTTGTTTCCATAACCAAAGACTTTTATTTACTACTACCTCCGTTTTATAAAGAACGCGTAAATGACAATGACGTATCTTTCCAGACCCTTGAATTAGCCTAAAGTCCTTCTGCAGACAAGAAATGCTTTTCAAGTCCAATAGATTAAGCCAGATAAACTTGATAATTCCAGAAAATAAATCAAATGCATAGTCCTAAAAACCACTTATTTCTGATCTAAAATTGAGCCATGTAAGGATCCATCCTTGATCTGAGGTATTGACTGATGTAAAATAAAATGTATACTTTTACTTTTACAAACCACTGGGTCTGGGAGCTTATTTTTTTTTATTGGTGAATGATGTTATCTATATGAATGTACACAAGTCATCTGTGATAGTTATTGTTATTTGAAATAATGTTTATTTTTATGATTAAAAATTATTTTATATTAAATATAAATTTTATATACATAAGTTTTCCTTCAATGTAATTCCTTGGTTTGTTTAGTAAAATTAGATTGCTTAACTTGGGTCGCTTGTAATGTGTATGAAATGTCAATCTTGATTGCTTGTAATGTGTATTGAATCAATGTCTCACTTGGGTTGCTTGTAATGTTAATGGAACAAATGTCTCACTTGGGTTGCTTGTAATGTGTATGAAATGTCAATCTCGATTGCGGGATGAAATGTCAATCTTGATTGCTTGTAATGTGTATGAAATAAATGTCCCACTTGGGTTGCTTGTAATGTGTATGGAATAAATGTCTCACTTGGATTGCATGTAATGTGTACGGAATGTATCTCTGGGTTGATTTTTATGTTTATAGAATGTGTCACGTGGGTTGCTTGTAGTAATATGTATGGAATGTCTCAATTCATTTATATAATTATCTATTATATTCACTTTTGTAACTGCCTGCGCTTGCCTTGTTTTTTTGCCGTTTATGTGACATTTACAACCAAATTATAGCTGAGATAGAGAAGCTAATCTGTCTGTAACATTTTATTCTCAGACTTTCTCATAAACAAGTTTTAAAAACATTTTTAATGATTAACTCATTGCAAGTGCAGAGTTATTGTTTGGGATTTATTGAAATTATATGAACATTAAATGGCAGTTTATTTTCATTGAAAAGTTACCATTATAATAATTATAACCAGAGAGACAGCGACATTTTATTGTTCATGCATGATTATATTGTGATTTGAGACACTGTGTCCATATGTAAGCTGGAGAAATGCTTTGCTTCATTTTCTTGTCAAATTTTACTGTGATCTGCATGCTTTCAGCAGGGTAATCATTCTACATTGTATAAAGTCAAAGAAATGGATATCATTGCTTTCTATTTTGTGCTATTTTTAAAGGAGGCAGATCTCCAAACAGTTATTCTCAAACCACAGGACATCGGCCCATTACATCACTTTAAAATTTAAAAGGAGTCAAGATATCCTTAACGTGTAGACCAGCTGTTCTCAAACCACACGAAATTGGTCCATTACTTCAATGGAGCTAGACACTTGAATGTTACACCATATGTATAGAACATTGGCTACTACTACTAAGGGGCAAAAATGATTAAAAACATTTTGATATGTAAGTTTTTAATAAATGCTGTTTTTTGATATGCAAATGTTTAATAAAAGATGTTTTTGATATGAAAGTGTTTAATAAAAGATGTTTTTGATATGAAAGTGTTTAATAAAAGATTTTTTTGATATGAAAGTTTTTAGTAAATAATGTCTTGTCCATATGGCTTACATAAGGGGTTGCTCTACTGCACAGGGTTTTGTAGCCCAGATCTCCATCTAGATGTTTAGCCCACATCTATAAATTTACATTTTCAAGATGATTGTATTATCTATGCTATGCATTCTTACTCTATGCCAAGAATTTCAGTTCACATCTCAGTTTGTCATTGAGTACTGGTGCTGGAGATATTTTGATGTGGCTTTTGTGGGTTGCATTGTTGCTAGCTAAAATTTGAAGGTCCCCTATTTTTCTATTTTATAAAAAATAAATTTTTAAAAATTTTTTTGTCTGCGATATTAAAATTTAATTTTACATGAAAAAAAATTGTAATTTCATTTAAACATGACTCTGTTCTATGGTCGAACCAAGACAGTCGTGGGCTTGACTCCATGCACAAGATACAACACATTGTTTGTTTCTCCAAAATAGGGGATGTTGCCCATAAAACCAAATGTACTATAGCATGTACTTAATATTTTGGCATATAACATTTTGCGGCATTACATTTATCTGAGGTGGCACCATTACACAGCAAACGGATAAGGTGGTGTGCACTTATTTAACCCATATGCACAAAATTTTTTTTTGCCTTTAATGAACATCTGCAAACTTTTGTTGAAATAACTTGTGCCTCTTAATTCAGTTTAGTTGCAGCCTTGTAATAATTTTTCTTACTTTCAATGATGGACTTTTTGTATTCAAGTGTGCAGTTTAATAATTAAATGTTTAATGTGTTATACACTGAAGAGTTTGACACAGAGTAGAAATGTATCGGGTGCGTCAGGCTTGCTCTTTTGCTATACATGTACAAATGTTTTTGTGCAATGTTTGGGCTGTAAGCGGATGTCCTCATTAACATATTATGCAATTGTGTATCAGTATTTTTCATTTTGGTAATGAAATGAATTAACAGAACATTTGATTTAAAAGCATAACTTTGTTATAAACTGATGAGAAAAAGAAGTTTTCTTGGTTTTGTTTGTCATGTGTATTCTGTTGGGACTGGTTCCAATCTCAAACTACTTAATGATGTCCCCCTACGGCTGCATTTTGCGATTTTCAGTGTCTCACCTCAAGGGCTGAATCTAGCTACAAACATTAATTCAATATAAATATCCATTAAAACTATTTGATAAAGCATAATTTTCAACACTGACATTGATTAGATCTTTCCATATCCACTAGTGACTTTACACAATATTTTTCATTAGATCACAGACTGGAAGGCAACCAAAGTGTAAACACCCCTCCCCCACACACACACCACACAATTAATTTGTCCATAGATCACCATGCTGCCTTTGTCTATGCTACAAATTACAAAAGTAAAAAGGCAAAGTGATAACTGTTGATTTTTAAATTCAAAAGTAAATCCTTTTGTTTTTGACAATCATTCAAAGGTGCACAATTTAACGAATACAAAATTGGGTCACACGTGCTGGTGTTTGGCTGAGCCTTAGTTGTTAGAAACTCAGCAGTGTTTAGTGTTATTGGTTGTTGCTACTTTGGCTTTCATGTCTTGAATTTCCAATTAGTTTAAACTGATCAGTGCATCAGTACAAACTTGTACTTGTAGGCCATGAGATGCAGCTAAGGGGGGTTCCCAGTCTGAGAGCCCCCCCCCCCCCCGGGGTTAATTTTTTCTCTTCTTTTCCAAAAGAAACCAAGGAAAAAAACTCAAACAAAAATATTTTAAAAAAAAAAAAAAAAAAAGGCCATGAGATGCAGCTAAGGGGGGTTCCCAGTCTGAGGGCCCCCCCCCCCCCCGGGATTAATTATTTCTCTTCTGTTCCAAATGAAACCATGGAAGAAAACTCTAACAACAGTATTTTAAAAAAACATAACAAAATGAAAGATAATCGATTGTAGGTTTACTGATGAGAGTCTCAAAATAATTGGAAACATAGAGAATAGTTATACCAATATGGTGTAACAAAAAAATATCTATCAGACTTGTGCAGGCACAATGATGCTGTTTCAAAAATCCGTTCAAACATATACTGTATAATAAAAAAAAATTTGTTTAAAACTAATTTTGTTCCAATTAGTCACAGCTGTGATGGTCCACCAGCAACTTTAAATAGGGCTACCGCCAAACCCCATTTGGGGTGAAAAAATGTGGAACATCCTAAGGGTCCAGTGGGGAGCCAATAATTTGGCATCCACCCCGAACCCCCCAAGAATCTTTTTTCAGTTTCACTTTTTTTCCACTACCGGTACACCTCCTGAATCAATGATGATGGATCACAGACTTTGAAACACAAAGATTCCAATGGAAATGTGTTTTAAATGCAAGTAAAAAGACTGATAGTGATTTATTTGTTCTGAAGAGATTCTGTTGAGGAATTGAAATTCTTTATCCAGGTGAAGGACTTTAACTTAACAAACAAAAAACTTATTTTTACAATAGTAATCACAAAACTCAAATAACCCAAGGCCTAATTGGACTAACTTTTGTAAGTTAACTGCTGACCTATTGATAGATTTTATTTTAACACTTTAACTCCGGTATTCATTATTAAGTCTTAATATTGTAAAAATTTGTCAGGATTTACAGCGTTTTTAACTTAGGTGAAAATGAAATTATATCCACAGTCCCCTGGCACAAAAAGCAGTTTCATGCACTCTTCCTAACATTACCAAATATAGTAAACTATCTATAAACTGTACAAATTTTGGTCCCAATACATAATACATTGGACATACTTGTTTTTTTTAATGCATTCAAAGATAAAATTCGGAGTGCATAAAAAATATATAAATGACATAAACCTATTTACAAAAAAAAAACAACAAGATTTGATCTTTTTCAATAACAAAAATATTAACACTTTCCTCAAAAATTATTTTAAAATTGAATGAACTGACTAATAATGATTAAGTTTTATTTCCTTGTAAAGACTGTAAAAGTAGTTTCATATCATCACTGGCAACATCCATTGCAGTGGTGCCATCTGAGTCTTTCAATGATGGATTGATACCTCTGACAACCAGCAGCTTGGCTACATCAGCATGATCACAGGACACAGCTGAGTATCAAACAAAAAATTTTTTATTAACTGTTAGTTACTGTTTATTACCGAATATTATTCGAAAAATTTTAGGTAAATACCGCTAAACAATATGGGTTTGCATTATACCCGCGTTTAAGAATTTTTCATTATCAGTGAATAATACACACTAATGAGCCTAATGGTTATGCAACCAAATTTTCTTGGCCACTAGGATTCAGTGACTGGGCGTGCACCACATCTGTGCATAACGCAAGTAATGTAAGTAGTGCCCCTTCGAAGGGATATAATATAAGCTTAGCTGTATCAGCTTGGCCGCAGTTCAAAATTATAATAATTAAAATGTTTTTGACATTTTTATTAAAAAATAATATTTGTTTCGTTTATTCATATTGTATTATTATGGACATGATCAACAGATCACATTTTTTTCAATTAAATGAATTGAAAAAAAAATGGATCAAATTCTGCAGTTGGTATTTAAATATCGAGACTATCTTGATTCTGGAAAAAAATCTTTTTAAATAACGCCCAGCTTTATTCTATAATTTTTTGATGAATGGAAAATTAAAAGTCTTGATCATTGTGTATCTTGAACTCCTAACCTTCAATAAAATTACTTACCATAATGCAAGGCAGTTTGTAAATCACTGGCCTGTAACAGAACAACAAATAAATCATCTCTTTACTTATGTCAAGATAATACATTTTTTTTTTTTACACAACTAAGCATACATTAACTAGCTTATGTTTTGATTCCAGTAATTAAATGCTCTAATATGTCATTGGCCATAATATTCATAATTTATAAGTACCAACTATCACAACATTAATGGAAACTCTTTGTGACCATGTTTACTGTTTGTAGATTGAAATAAAAATTATAAATATCAGTGAAATAATGAGAGGACATGTTTTATGGGGAAAAAAACGATACGAAAAGAGATAACATCCTTTTAATATTTTATTTTAATTGAAAAAAAAAATGAAATTGAAGTCTTATGCGACCTTTAGCAATTACAGAAGTCTATATTACAGACCTGCCAAGAAAAAAAAATCTGTGGGGGGGGGGAGGGTGCGCGCGGCGCTTGGTTTAAGATCTACATACTAATGCACAAGCCTTTTTTTTAGTAAATAAAGTAATATAAGTTACCTCTATTGTCTTTGAATCCACAGAACATGAGTAAAAGATTACTGGAAATCTTTATATACAGATATATATGGAACAGAATATACATTTTATTTACATATGTACACATATGCTAAAAGAGTACAGCTTTCCAGCATATCCCTGGATGGCTTTTTGCACTTGTCCAACAGCTCTTTGTACAACTGAGGTTAGCATTGCAATTGATTTTAGTTACAAGCAAGTTAGAAGGAGTATCAACTTTCATGCTTGCCCTTGTTTCATTGTAATTTTTCTTCACAATCTTCACTACTAGCAATCTGCGAGTCTGGAAACATTTGTGTGGCTCTGGCATTAAGGATTGGAGTTGGCTAGAGAAATATTTCCTTCAATAAGGGAGGTCGCAAATAAAACGTCCGATTCCCTAGCAAAGAAATTAGACATGGATGTCGTAGATTAACTACTTTGAGTTGCAGTCGTATGATTTTTGTTAAAACATGTTTATTAATATCATTGCACCCACCACTTTCAATAGATTTATCCATTTAATTAAGAAAAGCTTTAACACCAAAAAAAAAAAGTTGCAACACAATTGAATTATTTTTATCCTAATAAAAGGATGAATCACAATCGGATCAACTGATGATTGAAGTTGCAGAATGATTTGGAGAATGCGGTTCACTTTGATGAAAAAAAGGCAGTGTCTACACGTCCGGCGAACGGAATGATTAACTATTAGGGGTCACGTGACAAGACTAACAGACAAATATCTTGTGCAACTTTGTTACAGCGGTCATGTGACTTGATCAAGTAAATAATAGCCGGACGAAGATCCCGAGAACTTATTCGTCCGGTCGCTGGACATGTAGACACATTGTAAAAACAAAGGAAGTGGCATCATCGAAATGACCATTTCCTGTCGTACCCAAATTTTATTTTTTTTCTCCTTTCGGATTTTTATGATGGGTGAAAAATTATGTTTGGAAAATTGAAATTTGAACAGGTTTGTCGGAAGGTCAGAATGAGGGGTAAAAAATCTGTATAATTCCGAAAAAATCGTATGGGTTGGCAGTTCTGATATAACTACACATATTAATTAATAACATACCTGAATATTTATATCAGCATGAAGACTAAGTAACAACTCCACCATATTCGTTAGACCTCGATCACTGGCCCAGTGCAGTAGACCCAATCCCTGAACATAAAATTAAACATTAATAACATATGTGCTGAATTATAAAGTTATTTTATTAAGTTGCTAGAGAAAGTTGTTTATTTTAAATCAGGATCCGTACATGATTTATAAATGAATAAAGAATTGAATAATTTATATCGCTGAAAAGTTTTCAAACACAAATGTTTTAAAATTTTGACATATGTGAATGTTAGAAGATGCGGATGGTATTAGAGCGGGGGTGGCCAACCCCTGGCCCACAGTTTTAAATATTGTGGCCCACTAGATGTCTCAAAAATTAAATTAGCAATCATTTTCATTCTTGGCATAAACACGCATTTAAAATTTAATATAAATCACATGAAGAGTTTTTTGTGATGGTATGCACCAATTTGGTGTACTTGCCCCTCATTTGAACTAAGTTGTAAAAAATTAGATTCACATTATTGATCTTAAATATATTTTTCTGAGATGATAACACATTAAGAATAAGTAAATAACTGTGTACATCGCTATTTTTTATTTATTTTCTTTTATCAGTTTAATGACATGATGCCTGCAAGGGCTTGACTGACATTCAAAGTGGCCAGAGAAGCCATTTCTGTAGACCCCCCCCCCAACCTTTCCTTTAAGAGGGTTCATACACAACATATTTTATTTCAGACCTCTTCATCTAAGCCATTGACGTTGGCTGACCCAGCAATCAGCATCTGCCTCACTTTGTCCGTGTTCCCTTCTTTGCACCAATCAAAAATAGTTTTCTCTCCATCACTCAGTTCATCTTCAGTTCTTGCCATGACACTCACTGAGACGCCCATTGTGTTTCCTTGCTGAGACCTTGACTCATCTCCTCCCTCACAAACTGTTTCCTGAGAATGAAAAATAAATAGGACCTCTTTCAAGAAAAATGAAAAGGTATAAAAATAATAATGAGGAATTGTAAAAAATGATTCAATGGTCTGAAGCAGGGAAAACTGAAGGGGGAAAAACATCTCCACAAATCGAGTGGTCTAAACTGACTCACTCCAAATAGTGGTGGTCTGGGGTTCAATCCCCGCCAAAGCCAAAATTCCAAGCACCCCGGGTGGATGGGACTCGTTAGTCTTGGAAGGCAACTCATCTAAGAGAAGGCCAACACTGAATTCAAACCAGGAGCCAAAACGATCAAAAATTCCTCAAATATGAAAAAAAAAATTATATTCATTAATTACAGCTACATAAAATTAAAGCTTTGATGTTTAATAAATTAATGACCACTACTACTTCCGTGGACTTTTGAAGTATGTAGCTTTAAAGTAACAACTGACCATCTTATTCCTCCAGTCCTGGTCAATATTGGTAAGTAGTGAGACATATTCCATCATGGCCTGATTTTTACTCATGACACCAAGTTTGTTCCATGCATCCCTGTAAGTGCATGAAAAAATTGGCTAGATACAGCAACATGGAATTTCTTTTTGAACGCACTATACATAGTAAAACAAAATAATGCGTTAAAAAAGAAACTTGAAGCTAAATTTTAACGTAAAAACTGAAAAAATGATTCGAACAAATTTCTGTTCGATCAAATTACTGTCAATCAATTTACTGTTGACGAAATTTCTTTCGATCAAATTTCCGGATACGATAAATATTAGTATTTTTTAAATCACTCTCTTTCCTTGAATGTGATTCAAATAAAAATGTATTTCATGTATTTTATATATATATATTGTATTTTATTCCAATTTTTATCTCTTTTCAAATTTAAAAAAAAATAAACAATAGAATTTAAGACAAAAGCAGAACAAATTAAATAGGCAAAGAGCTGAATATCTTTTGTTAGAATTTTAAAAAAAAATTACCATACCATTTTGCTTTTCCTTGAAAATCAAAGAAACTTGGTTTGGATGTGTTACATTTACCTTCTTTAGCCTATAAAAGAAAAATTGTATGAAACAACAAGATTTATTGAACAGGCCAAAGTTAAAAAAGCAATAGAAAGTTAGTAAGGTGGCCTAATAAAATATATAATACTATGCTTAACTAGGTGCAATTTTTTTTACACCGGTCCAGGTATTTTGAGAAAATACTCAGTGAGCCCAAGTTTTTATTAAAAAATTCCCAATTTCTATAATATATGAATATGCCAGCCTTTAAACAGACGGTCCGACTCATACCCATGGCTCTATATTGATTAATATAATAGTCACCTCTCCCTAATAAAGAACAAAAATTAAACCTTTTTACCCAAGTTCAACCGTCATGCAAAATGCTAGCTGCGTAACAGCTTTTTTCAGTAACTCAGTACTTTTGATATAAAATATGTTGAGATGGGGAGGACTGGTTGTGAAAGGAAGCAGAACACACCACAAGCAAAATATATTTAAGAGACAGGCCATAAGTAACATAGCTGACATAGGCCTCATACTCATAGTAGTAGTAGTAGCAGTAGTAAAAAAAGTAGTAGTAATAGTCATACTGAATACTCATAGTATAGGCCTCGTCATACTAACTATTTAGTTGTGATTATTGTGAAGGAATATTCAAGTCAATGATAAAGGAATAAAGAGTAAACAAAGGAGAGGGAGGAAGTTAAAAGTGTGAATGGGCTAAATGGGCATGGGGGGAGATGAAGGCTGAAGGTGTGAATTTGAGAGTAGGTGTACATGAGCCTGGCAGACACTGTAGGGATATAATATTGAATTGATAGAAGGGAAGAGGCTTCAAGTGGCCTGAAGAGGAGGATAAGGGGGGCATCGATTTATAAATAAAGATTACTGGTCATCTGCAACTTATACTTATATTATATAGAATAAAGGCCCTTATATTTAAGTTTTACGAAACCTACCATATTAATAATATTATTGTGTGTAGGCCTAAGACTCATATATTCTAACTGACTAGTGACAACAAAGATTTTCAAAGATTCAAAGCAACTGCAATGCGTGAGTATTGTCCAGAGATTCTAAGATTAAAGAGTTAAGTCAAAACAAACATTTTGAAACATAAACAAAAGTAAACACAACCAAAGAGTCATTTAACTAATATGGTAAGAATCACTAAAACAACCTGTTTGAATCGCCCATAGAAGTAAAGTAACTTCTCACTGTCCCAACTGCCTCCATGGATCCTTACGTAGTCAGTAGCAGAACGAAAAACTTCTTCCAGATCATCAAAGTCATATGAAGCTTCGTCCGCCATGCTTTTTACCGATATATATCATTTACTTTTAATTGCTACGAGATAGTTTCATTTCTTTGCGTTTTTTTTTTTTTACGATTTTTTAAAAATCCAACAGCTTTATGGGAATTTTAATAATTTTATAATTTAAAAGTTAAGTTATCAGCTCTTGTCCTAAGTAGGCAAATTTGCAATAACCAATGAAATATTTAATTAGCTAATGGCATGAATGCATGCGATCTATTAATTTATGCCATAGGTGGCCAACTGAACAGTACTAGTACTAGTGACTTAGTAGAGGCTTGAACTTGTGGGCTGTCCAAACCGTCACAAAGCTCGGACACCCCCCCCCCCTTTAAGTACGTCACACTTTCGAACAATTAAAAAAAAAATAAAACCTAAATTAAAATTTAATATAAAACACAATTCACTATTAAAATTTATTAAATTAAAATATAAAATTTCAACTTAAAAAAAAGTGGCCAACTGAACAGTACTAGTACTAGTGACTTAGTAGAGCCTTGAACTTGTGGGCTGTCCAAACCGTCACAAAGCCTGGAAACCCCCCCCCCTTTAAGTACGTCACACTTTCGAACAATTAAAAAAAAAATAACACCTAAATTAAAATTTAATATAAAACACACTTCACTATTAAACTGTATTAAATTAAAATATAAAATTTCCACTTAAAAAAACTATCACATTATTAAAATTACTTTAATAGTAGAATAGTTAATTGTCATAAGTTGTCACAGTTATTCATTAAAGCAGTAACTCAATCTAGATTGAATTTGAAAACAAAAATGCAAAAATTAGACTAGACAATTATATAATACACATCATTTATCTGCTGCTTTTTCATTTACAAAAGGTGAGGTCAAGTTTTAGATAATTTCCGATTATGCAATCTTTTTACACAGGATAAGAAGTAAATTAGCGAAACTTGACCTCACCCAGTGATTAAATAATAAAAAGGAAACAAAACAATTTGACTAAAAAAAAGACTAGATTGACAAATTATGTGACAAACTATTGTGCTTTATTTAATCTGTTAATTATGTTTAATTAACAAATATTCACTGGACATCATCCATCCAAGGATAGGTGAAGTGTCATCCATAGTTAAGACTGGCATCAATCTTTCACCATCATCGTTTCCTGGAAGGATAATTGCAGACAGATCAACTTCATCCTCATATAGCCACTCAACATCATCTGAATATGCATGTAATGTAGTACACTTTTCCCCCGTGCGTGAACTTTCTTTGACCCCTCATTAGACTCCTAGCAGACGGTAACGTTTGTTGTGGGCGTGGTTTAAATCTCTTTGATGTATCTTGTTTACTAACAGCTACCAATTAAACATGGTTAGTATGTCTTCTATTTTGTTGTGGAATGATCGCGATTTGTTCTAGAAACGTAAAAAAAGGCTGAGTAGCTTCTCGGAGGCAGTGCTTACGCTGCATATATTAAGGGATTGACAGACACGGAGAAGGAGAGATTCAGAGAGATATTATAAACTTTACGAGACAATTGTATTATTCATTATTCATTATTGTGATTATATGTGTTTATTCGCATTCATCATTATTAATTGGCACATTTTACTGATTGTGTACCGGTACAAGATCTATCATACTGTACGTTGATGATTTGTAATATATTTCTTTTTGTTTTGTAATTGTATTATTACAAAAATAAATCTTATTAATTGTAATTGGCAACTGTTTTTGCGTGTCGTATCTTTATTATTGTATTTCTCTATGGTATCGTCCTTTGTTGTGCACTGTGTGAACGAGCCATACAAGAGATTAATTTCCCACAATAGAAGCCAGTTCGTAACAGTGCATTTTCTCTTCTGGCAATAACTGCCATTAGTTCTCTTTGCCTTCTAGCAACGATTCTCAAAGGACTGATGCGTTTTATCTGAGTTGATTCTGGAACAGTTTGGGTTGGCACATTCTCCTGAGCTCTGTGTTTTCCTGCAAGTTTCTTCGACATTGTTTTTGAGGCAAATTATAAGTGACATACTTTGCAAATTCGATAAAGTAAGGTGGTCTGCAAAGATGGTCACTAAAGATCATATAGTTGTATTTTGAAAACTCCTGTTGATCTCGGCAAGGCTATACTTAAAACAAGGCTTCGCAACAGCATACTAGTGCTCCTAGCGAGAGGAACACTGACTTCACCACTGACATTTCCATAAACAATTACACCAGAAACAATAGCAAATGCTTCAACGTGCCTCGGTGCAACAGTGCAGTATCAAGAATCTTTCTTCCTACGCACAATATTAGCATGGAACTATCTGAACGATGCCATTGTGGACTCGACATCGATAGAAAGCTTCAAGGCTGCCCTGGCATTAGCTAGGGGCTGTTAGAATAGCAACATCATATCCCCAACCGTTGCAAAGATGCCAGTTCATGGATGCAGCAACGAAACATTACAAGAACCAGAACCAGGAAACGTGAACAACACATTCAGGAGATACGCATTTCATGCTATTTTGACATAAAACTAATTCAAATGTTTCAAACAATTTTTGAAAATTATTTTTAAAGCTATTAAATTCTACTAAAAAAATAAAAATAAATTAGAAATAAAATTTAAAAAAAATAAATGTGTGATGTCACACATAGCCTGACCCCCCTGTCACAAACTGTCACACGTTCTTACACCCCCTCCCCCCTCTGGAGCGTGACGTACTTTATGGACGGCCCGTGTACTTGACTATTTTTTTTTGGGGGGGGGGGAATATTGTATGGGATAAAACGTTTAAAAAAGTGATCTTAATATAAAATACAAACATCTTATTTTCAACACCAGAATGATTCCATACAAAAGAAAAAAAATAAAAAAAAATTAGAAATAAAATTTAAAAAAAATAAATGTGTGATGTCACACATAGCCTGCCCCCCCTGTCACAAACTGTCACACGTTCTTACCCCCCCTCCCCCCTCTGGAGCGTGACGTACTTTATGGACGGCCCGTGTACTTGACTATTTTTTTTTGGGGGGGGGGGGAATATTGTATGGGATAAAACGTTTAAAAAAGTGATCTTAATATAAAATACAAACATCTTATTTTCAACACCAGAATGATTCCATACAAAAGCTCAAATGCCTCACATTCACTTTGTAGATCAGTAATAATAAAATGTAAAGTTCCGATCTCGCAAGGTGTGCAACAGGTTCGCACCACTTTGTACAGTGCGGCTACATCCAATGTTGACACAAACAGATTATGTAATTGTATACAAAAAGGGAGAGTACTTAATTAAAGAAAGTAAGTGATAACATTTAGAAACAATCGCAGCATTTCTTGAGTTGTGAAATTTGAAGTAAAAAAAACAACGTTTATAGAATATCAGAGTTGTGATAACTTAAGGATATTGTATTAAAATTGTTTTTAATATGAGAACTTCTTTTTCTATTTGTAAAAGTACAGGAGACCCACATCTATAATCCGGCATTTAAATTACGGTACTTCAATCAGTAGTTAATGGTATCGTGTAGGAAAAAAACAACAACAAATGCTGTCAAGTTTTTAGTACGATTCTGTATTTGGCATTTTCAAAATGTTCAAGCTAAGAGCCTTACATAGGTTAGTAGATGAAGCATATGTGCAGCCACACTAGGCCCCACTCAAATTAGAGTAGATTCTAGCTGTTATGTTAAAATCTGTAAATTATACTTGCAATTTGTAAATAAAGTCCTAAAGATTTATATTTTAATAGGTTTTTATGCTATTGCGCTTTCTTTTTATTTTATACTAATTTTTATTTAGTTTCCTTTAATCCCCTTATCATCTAGTTATTTCCATTAAACGGTGATGCATCAGCTCCTATTGCTTCCCTTGTAAAAAATAAAATGTCTCCCTTTGGCAGTCCGTCAACGAATATTGGGAGGTTAGAGTAAATTGCAAAATATGGGCGCCAGGAATGCGATACTGCTGTCTCTGTGAAAGCCCTGAAACAGAGGAGAAAAAACCTAAACGAGAGGTCAAGGCAAAACAGCATCCAACAGGAAGAGTCTCGGAAACTGTGCTACGCTACCCAGGTGACTTAATAGATCACTGCAAGAAGTGGCCCAAGTACAAAAGGTTCGAGTACACAAGGGCAAGCATCAAGTTTTGGGAGGAGGTCCGGAACAATATTCAAGTAGAAATAGACAAGATGGTAAGTGTTTTATCTGAGGAGCGGGGAAGTGGACACAAAAGTGTTTTTGTTTTTGTTTATTTTTTGTATAGGTTTTGTATGAATTTATTAATTTTTTAACTTGATGTTTGGCTCCATAGCCATGAGAAAATCCTCAGGCTAAAAAAAAAAGTAACATGCAAAAGTTGCATGGAGAGCTAAATGGTTTCTCAAATAAAATGCAGTAGTTCTTTTCCCACAACTCTCGCACATGATAGTGTGTGAAAATGAAATTGTCCAAATGGAGAACCCTCAATTATTTAAGCCAATTCAAAAAATTTCTACAAAGGGTACAAACATTCATAATCATCCTCATCCATCCTGCCATTTGACAGTTACAATTAAATGCAACCTTTCCCCTCTAAGTGCTATGTTTTGATGGCATCTAAGTTATTCTCACCTAATTTAGATAATTCATTAATTATTTAAATGACAATAATTGACATAGAGTTAAATAACATTTGTATTTAGTTGATGATGATGATTGAATACTTTTATAGTGCTTGTGTCCATGCTAATTTGCATATTATATTAAAATGTATATTATGTTAGATCTGGTATAAAATAAATGCAGAAGCATCAAATACTCATTGGATCAATTTGGTCAACAGGATGTTTGGAGGCGTCAGTACACCTCTACTAAGGTTGCCAAGCCTAGGGTTAGATGGTCATCGTCGGTGGATGAGGCAGAGAAGAGAAGGAACATGCTCGGTCTAGAATGCTCTTTTGAAAAGTACCGGGCCAGCCAGGAAAAGCACCCTTTCAGGTTTGTCAGATGACGGTAGAGATTATGGCTGTTTGTAAAAGTTATTTGCATTAATAACAAGAGCTGACCCTAAATAAAATGACAGGCAAGGCACAATTGCAGGATTAAAATAAATGGCTCTTTAAAAATATAACTTCTTAAACACTCTGAGTAACAACCAAAGGTCACTTTTTCATGAATCAAACAGTCAGTAGAAGTATGATTTTGATTGATAGAAGAAAATGAATAGGAATGACCCTGACCTGACTTTGGTCTTATTAACAATTAACATGTATACAATTTTTCTGAAACTTCTTACCATTGTGGCCAGTTTTGTTGGCATGAACAAGATTATTTTTGGGTACTCCTTTAAATCTTATACTGGTAATACACAAGTGAGAAAGAAATAAAATATTAGGTACGAAAGATATCTTTTAAAAAAAATATGAATGAGACTAGTGAGAGAAAAAAAAAACATGACCTTTATGAACATCCATTTCGGGTGTGTTGCATCCTTCTTCAATTTGTTTGAGACAGAAATCAATGGCAGAGAAATTTTTTTTTAGATCTGACCAGCAAGGCTTTTCTTTTCAGCTCTTGATCTTTTTATTTATCCCCTTAGTCTTCTGCTTGAGGAAGATGAATCTCAGGAAGACTATGACTCGTGTCCCGCCACCCCAGGGGAAACTGAACGAACAAGTTGCCAATGTACAGACATTCTTCTTAACCCTGACACTGAAAACAGGTAAATGTTTCATGGAGTACCATAACCAGGGCAAAAGTAGGAGTAATGAAATCAGTGGGGCAATATTTATTTTATAATTTTCAATACCTTAACATAAATGAAATCTAATTGAAAACTAAAACATGATCACATTCAAGATTTAAACCTATTTTACAAACATCACTGAAGGAGTGAACAATAAAATAAATATGATCACATTCAAAAGTTAAACATTTAAAAATATCACTGATGAAATGATCAATAAATTGCTAATTAAGTAGAAAATGATTTGAGCCACATTTCTAAAATAAATATAAAAATGTATATATGTACTGATGCAATGATAGCAAAGGCCAGCGTCCGCAACTTAAGCTACCACTTTCACTGTCATGGAATGAAATCTTCATTAATTTCAGTCTGCCTTTTATAACCAAAGCTGCCAGATCCAATTTGGTGGAAGAGATTTTGACAGATGAGGTAGAACAATACGACCATTCAACATGGAAATTCTTGGATCACTGTCCCTAGTAATCATTAATTGAAGTAGTGCTTAACCCTTTTATGGAAGTGACCCCACTGAAGTTTTGCTTTTGTTATTGAGATTCCATGTCTCGATTTTAATAGAAAAAAAAACTCTTAAAAAAAAAAAAAAAAAAAAGGGCAGACGCCCCAAGTTTGTATGTGACTGGTCTAATGATTGCAGATGATAAGCGTTGAGCATATCATGTATGGGAACAAAATGTCTATGATATATTTTGATGTAATTACACTAGTCATTATTCCATATTGTATTTCTTTAGGACTGAAAATTTTTTTTTTCTTTATTAATTTTTATTTTGAATGGTGCTTAATTTATTTCCTTTAAAGAAGTGCAAAAAGCTTAAATTCCTGAATATCGTGCAAGTGACTGATCTTATCAGACTTTATGATTATGTGTGAATGTTGATTTTTATCAAATTGGATAACGGCTAATGGTTTTTATTATAAATGTTTCCTTATGTGAACATAATTGATTTCATATTGGCTCATTACCTGCTTTTAAATAATTCAGAAAGAATATGTTGTTTTTTTTCTTTTGTTTAACTCTCTTTCATTATGTGCATAGACTGCTGTATAAATCATAATGCGTTTCTTTCAGCATATTAGCTTTCACTATAAATAATTGTATAATATGCTCATGAACATAAATTAAATTCACCAGTTAGTGTATTGTAATTCTGATTTCAGTGTATATTTAATGACCAAAAAAATGAGTCAGCAAATAAACTTAATTTATAAATAAGACGACTCATTGTCACAACTCCGTGTCATAGTGAATGTATACATAGCTTTTCTCTCATAAGAAGAGAAAAATCTAAAGTTTATTTTAAAATTCTTAATTCATCATTATGCAAAGATTATCTTAGCAACACTAAATAATCATCATTTATTATATACTGGTACAGAGTACTTCTAATTTTATTTTCCTCACAAGACAACTTTTTTTTAAACATAAAAAAAGAGACAAAACTTTTACGCATAAGATACAGATCTCTGACACCCAGTACTGCTATGACTAACTTAGAGGCTTAAAAGATCCCAATTAATCATTAAATATAACCAGTTGTGATGAAAACAACTCGAGAACCATTTAAATGGAAAAAACTTAGAGTGCAAGTATATGAAGCCATTCATTTTTTAATTTAGTTTTCCATAAAAGCATTTCATGGTTCCAGGGAGTAAAAAAGGTAACTGAATTATTTACCAAAGCAAAAATAGCTTTAAAATTAATATTATCATCTTCAATTTTACTTAATGGCTGTGAACCAATAACTTAATGGCTATGAACCAATAACTTAATGGCTGTGAACCAATAACTTAATGGTTGTGAACCAATAACTTAATGGTTGTGAACCAATAACTCAATGGTTGTGAACCAATAACTCAATGGTTGTGAACAAATAACTCAATGGCTCTGAACCAATAACTTAATGGTTGTGAACCAATAGCTTAATGATTGTGAACCAATAACTTAATGGCTGTGAACCAATAACTTAATGGTTGTGAACCAACCATTAAAAAAATAAAAGAAACCCAGACAATATCAATGAAAAGTTTATTTACAGCTTTAATTAATGCATTTGAGATAACTGAGAAAATCAATAATTATTTTTTTAATGTGAATTTTGAATGTCGAATCACATCAAGAATACTCAATATCTTGAAATCTGGAGAAAAATATGAGATAGAGAGAGAACAAAAATTAATATAATTTAATAGCCACATCAGTTTGTTTCAGTTGATTTATTTGAGCTTCAATTTTATTGTTTAAATTGCCCAACATTTATATATAAATATAATAAATTACATGAAATTATATTTGATATAATTAAATCAAATGCTGAATAATAATAATAATAATAAGGGGTCTTATATAGTGCGGTACCCGAGCCTAGGGCTGGGCTCACCGCGCTGTACATAAAAATTTTATCAAAAGAGACATAATCATGACATTAAAATAAAATACATTTATGAAATAAATCCTTTGCCTTAAACTCTGAATCCCCCCCCCCCCCCCATTTTTTCCCTAACCTCAACCCAGTAGTGACAAATGTATCTAACTTCAAATGAAACCAAAGAATTTAATTAAATCTTTCAAGAGTTCATATGAAATTAAAATTTAATTTCATTTGAACTCTTGAAAGATTTTCTGATACAAATATGTTCAATAACAGACAGCTTTTAACAAATCTATCAACTATTTTGATGTAATAATTATGTGTTGGGCTAGAATAAAAATCCAGTGTTATAGACAACAACAATTTGGCTGCTGTCTCCTAACTTAGATGCTTAAGGTGTTTGGCTCAAGATTTTCCTCTGGACTTAGAATACCTGCCAGGCTCTGCTGAGGAAGCCTATTCCATCCCGCTGATACGGGTAACCCTTTACTTGGGATGATCGCTGATATAATTAAAACTATCTCTTCCGGTTATGAGGCAAATATTTTACCAGTGCTACAAAGTAAACAAAATCTGGGGCTAATTTCATGTATTTTTTTCTTTTAAAAATCTCAAAGTTTAGCTTATCCAATACAAGATTAGATGACTTACTTGCAACTGACACATGTGTAGAAAACAGTTTGGCCTTCATCTGCTGATCGTGTCTGTCTGGTAGTGTACATCATTATGTCATGATTGCACTTTGGACAGTGTCGCTCGACCTTAGGGAATAAAATCATTTGGTCAGATAGTGGAAATCATTAAGTTGTTCCCACTAAATTTGAATGCCCCATAAAATAAGTTATAAATAAGGAATATACTATTTAATCTTGGAGGCTAAAAATCAAATAATTCCATTTTGAAAGGATATATTGTTGTATCAACAGAAGAAGCCAAAAAATCTATAAACTTTTAAAAAACTCTTCAAAATTGAATCCCAAATATTTTTAAGCTAAATTCAAATATATATTTGAAACAAAAACGTACAGTTGGTCCCTGGAATTCAGATACTCTTGATTCTTGCACATCATCTGAATTTTCTAAAGATGTGTTGCTTTTACTTTTCTTTGGTTCATTAAAATACAGAACAAACTTTTCAACTACACCTTCATATTCTACAAAGAACAAATATTTATTTTCATATTATCAAATGAATAAATGCCTTTTCAATTAAGGAACTAGGTTTGGAATTTGACACTTACAGTTAAGATATTAAATATAACAAATAAAAAATCTATCAAATGTGATCACATAATAATATGTCCTGCTTGTAATTGAGGTTTCTGAATTCAAAAGTGTAAATGAACACTCAAATATGTTTACTGAATACTAAGAAAACAACAAGCATTGATGATACATTTGTGAGAGATGAATATGTTTGAAGAGCTTTATAAGTTCTAAAAACTATTTCTTTAAAGAAAAAAAAATGATGTCCAGCATTTTGATATAAAAAAACTTGCAAATTACATTTCAGAACTTTGATAAGTTAAGGTTCATGGTCAAATATATTATTAATATTATAAGACATAGCCTAAATAAATACCTCTTATATTTCTTTTAAATGGACACCGAGAGCATGGAATGATTTCCTCACCAACTGTTGGCAGTGGAAGAACTGACCCACACAAAGGACAGAAATGGAGATCAGATGAAAAGGCAGCGGTCTCTGACATTATCACTGTAATTGTTTCAATAAACACATATTGAATTAAAGGTTTTAAACATTGTTAATGTTAAGTAAATAGCAGCTAGCAATATTCCTGCCCATTTAAATTTAAGCAAACTACAAGTGAAGTCAATCAATATGACTTGATAAAACTAGGAAATATGAATCTATTTGAAGATGTTGATTTTTAGTCTAAAGCGACCCGGGTACGCATAGCCGCTATTCGGACCCAGGTCCCTTTAGACTAAATCCCATTTTCGGATGTCATTTGTTGTAGTTAATTTTAGTTAAACTGAAGAAGTAAGTTTACAAACATATAGTCCATTCAATTATCTTTCATTTGATACCTCATTTTGTCTTACTAGCCCAACAATAATATTTTAAATAGTTTTTTAATCCCAACCTTTCACTTCTGAAACCCGGGTGCAAATAGCCACTTCGTTTATATAGCACGGTACCCCAGCCTACGGCTGGGCTCACCACGCTGTACATTCAAACATAATCATGAACTTAAAGATTAACATACATTAATTAAATAAAACAAACAAATGCATTTTCATTCCACACATTCAAGAACTATTTACATGTCACATGTCAATAGCACTTCACTTCAAACTGTATTTTTAAGTATTTTTCCTTGGGCGACGCTCAAGTCTCAAGTGGTCGATTACCCCAACTAGAATTAAAGCTTGATGGGTTGGAGGGAAGAGGGGATATTTTGAGGAAGACTTAATGAGCTCTGGCTCGATAGTTTGCTGTTTGTCTAAAAAGTCTTCTACTTTTCTACCGCCTTTAGTTTTAGTCTTCTTACTTCTTCTTAGTCAAGTTAGTAGCACTGCTGGCCACTGGCGCTAGGTCCGGTGTTTTTTTATTTAGTATGCTAAAGTTTTGTTATTTGATGCAAGTTAATTTTTAGAATACCTTATGAAAAATTAATCTAAAACTGAAGGTAAGATAAAATGAGTAGTCTAAATGAACTGGATTTGTCAAACATCAAAGTCAAATATACTAAACTGGCCGAATAAGTTTATAAGAATGTGAATTAAAGGAAATAAGAGTACTTTCCCCTGAAATATTTCCTGCGTCTATTACTGCGCTTTTCGTGCTCAAGTAATACTTAAAAACACGTAGACACGATTTTAAAGTACCGTATTTATCAGCGCCTTTTCTCCCTGAAATAGGGGGCAAATGATGTATGCGTATTATACGCCGATATAATGATAAGGACCCATAGTACATACCGCATAGCACGCGAATGGTAAAAGAAAGTGTAGCTAACGTTTTTTTTTTTAAAAATAAACATTCTGAATTGCCCTATACATTCCTTACGATTAAGATAAAAGAAAGGATTAAATCCAAGAAATATTATACTGAACTGCCCTTTTGCATTACCTTTCATTTTTCAAATACTATATATTTAGTTAGTATATTCAGGCAAACATTTGAAATATTTGTTCTTCGTTCACGGTAGCCAACATTTTGCTAATGATGGACTTGAGACAGAAAAAAAAAATATGTCAATAAACAATACAAGCCAACAGCTGTCTCGTTTGTTCAGCTGTTTATTTTCTCTCCCCGTGATGACATGGGTTTCTCAACATAGAGGACACACTGCACAGACAACAGACAATAGATATTGGAAAGGCAATTCAATGTTCGTGCCCAGCGCAGTGCAATTTTTTTTTTCTTCATGTGTTTGCAACTTTTCTAACAATGTTTGAGAACATGATGAGCATAAATCTCTATTGATCATATTTTGGTCTGTTGCCAAGGGCAAATCGCAGACGCAAGGATAGGATTGTGGGGATGACGTTCCATCTATTTCGGAGTTTCTCTGTTGCTATTTTTTGTTGGTTGCCTTTAACATGGTAAGTTACCGGTGGCATGTTTTCTTGTGTACGTCAAATTAGCGTTAGAGCCGAATCCCGCCGTTCATGTTTCATCTCACAGTTGTTAAAAGATGATTGCAGATTTTAAAGGAAATATGACTATTTTTTTTAAATTTGTGTGTGTGTAGCAAATTGGAATAAATCAGGTTTCCTATGTACTGCAACGCCAAGGGTTATGCTAAGGAGCTTTGAAATTAGATTTAACTGCAAATTTATTTTTTTATTTTAACTCATTTTATTCAAAATAGAAATGACTGATGTTTGAGAAAATTAAAACAACAACAAAAATATTTGGAAAAAGTTCTGAAAATAACGATCTCAACTCCTAAGCTAAATTCGAAACTTGACTTGTTGAAACTTGACTTGTTGAAACTTGACTTGTTGAAACTTGACTTGTTGAAACTTTTGCTTTAGGTTAATCTGGCACCGAACCCAGCTCTGATATCAGCAATATCACAAGACTTTCTAGGATAGACAGGATAAATTGTTATTATTTTTAAAAAAAAATAACTGAGATTGATGAAACCGGGACCAAAATTCAAAACCAGTTGAGAGGCTGGAACAAGGTGAAAAATTAAGGCCATTCTTGGTCAAAACAAGTAATATGAAGGTTTTTTTTTTTTTTTTTTTTTTTTTTTTGGGG